AATAAAAGAATTAAGTATAGTATTATGATTTCTTCAAGAGTTACAGCCAAAACCAAACTAGAGTTCCCTTAAGTGTCAAAGGTCATTTTCTCCTCTTTCCAATCTCATCATCTGAATCCTGTTCGAGAGATGGAGGCTGCTAGAGCTTAACAGGTCACTTTTTAGGAATCATTCATTCAAAAAGCAATCAAGTAACTCCTATGTACCACACAATGTGTGGATGCTGAACCATGCAGACTTGCAAAAAATTTGGCCCTTGATCTAATGAAATGCAGAGCTAAATGACAGAAAGGGAAAAAAAAAAAAAAGAGAGAGAGAGAAGGCTTCATGATGAAATGTTTAACCATGATGGCGTAGTATGTCCCTAATACAGAAGCACAGGTATGGGCCCCCACCCTGCCTGCAACTAGGTGGAAGTTAGCAATGGACACCAGCCTACCCCAGGTGCCTTTCCAGCAGGTGGACAAGTCTGAAGTGAAAGGAGATTTTTGAGGGAAAATGTGTCAGAGGGATTAGCTCGGCGCAGCCACTGCGAGGACACAACCTGGGAGCTGCATGTTAATTACTGTGTTTTAGGAGGTGGCGTGAAGATAGTAACAGAAGAGAGAGGTGAGAGGGAAACAGAGCAGGAGCCAGGCAGACAGTTTAGAGAACGCCACACTAGAAGCCACCACCGACTCTGCCACAACTCATCAGCTCTGACTTGCAGTCACAAAGGAGCATGGCTGGGTCTTAAATCTTCACTCCCGAGCACAGAAAACAGGCAGCGGGTTTGACCCGTGAGCCAGTTTGCCAACTTCCAGAACACCACTGTCCAAGAGAATGTTCTGCAATGATGGGAATGTTCTCCAGCCACACTGCCCACTCCAGGGGCCACAGGTCACATGAGGCTATGTAGCACTTACATGTGAACATTTGTTGCCTTTTTTTTTTTAGAGGAGCTGAGTTTTAAACTCTATTTAATTTTGTTGTTGTGCAGCAAAGATTTTATTTAAGAAAAATATGCTTCTGAGAAAAAACAACTGAGTTGGGTCAATGAACAAAGCAATCTGGTATTTAATTCCATGTGGGTAGTCACATGTGGCTTGTTGGTATTGTCTGGACAGTCACGAGGCTAGAGGCTGGTCCAGCAGCTGAGGCAAGAGAGAATGAATTAAAGCAGGGACAGTAAACACGGACGGGTGAGGGCACAGGCAAGAACTACTTGGGAAGCGATACGGCAGGACCTGATGCTGCAGTTACAGGTGAAAGAGAAACAGCCAAAGAGGACACCAATGTGTGGGGCGCGGGCAGCCCAGGGCAAGGCTGGGGCCCACACTGAACAGGAGAGCAGCGTCTAAGGCACATGGTGAAGGGGTGGGGGGAAGTCCATGGGGATTCCAACTGAGATGAAAAATGTACCAAATGAAGAATAATGTAAATATATATATACATAAATATATAAAATTTTTAAAAAAGAATAGAGCAGAAAATGTCACATTCTGTTTTAGACATGCTGCATTTGATGTGCCACCTGGGAGGAGAAAACCCTTGACAACACTACAAGGAAGTAGTTATATTACATATGCTCTTTTTTCTAGAGAAAGCAACTGTGTTAAATAACTTGTGCAGAGGTCACAGCAGTAAGGCAAGACAAGATGGCATTGCAAGGTGAGTTTGTATGATTCGGAAATTCATATACAGTTCACAAAACATGAGAAGCAAAGAGGTAACCACTGAAGTGTTGAAAATAGAAGAATTCAGCAGGGAGACGCACAAAGAATATCAGTGAGCCCCAGGACAGGCTTCTGGGGAACCCTAGTATTTATGGAATTGTCCCTTCTGAAGAAAACTCAGAGAGGGTAGCAGAGAAACACAAGATCCAGGTGAGGGCAGCATCGTGGAGACAAATCGTGGAGACAAAGGAAGTGAGGCGTTAAAGGCAGGGGGTGAGCAACAGTGTTGAGCCCACAGGGAGATACAGTAAGATGGACACCAGAGAGAGGTCGATGGATTTTGCAACTCAAACAATTCCAGCAAGATGAAAGAGGAAGAAACCTAGCTGTCAAAAAGCCAGGACAAAGTAAAGAAAGCAAACTGTGAGCTATGCTCTTCCAGTACTTACTAGGTTTTAGCTAGCATGGGACACCAGCTATTTAGCATACTGGATCTGTATCGTGCCAGGTGCTTTACATATATAACCCCATTAAGCTTCACAACTAACTATAACATCTACAGGTATCATGATGCCTGTTTTATGGGTAAGAAAATTCAGGCTGTGAGAAGATGCAAACAATGCAAGTGGAAGATCCTGGATCTGAACCAAAGTCTTCTGACTTCAAAAACCACTCTTTTCCTCCACACGTTCACATTATGATGGCAGAGGAATGTTTTTGGTTTAAAAGGCCTCTCCCCCAGAACTGTTCTTCTTGAAGAAATGACTGGCAAGCAAAATAAGAGAGTATACAAGTATTTGGGAGAGAAAAAGCATATCAGCAGATCTATAATCCATTCTCTCCTGTATGGGCACCAACTTCCCTCTGGCAAAAGAAAAAGACAGACGACCAGGCTGCTTGGTAAACACATTAATGACAGACCTGACAAGTAGATGACTCATCAGGAGTATTCAAGACAGGAGTCTTCAATAGACTGCTTTTAGATCTACTCAGTCTAGGATTGCTTAAGGTAAATGAACCTAAAATGGGTAGATTTATGAGGTTTGACCTGCTGGAGAATGTCACAAGCTATGTAACAATTTGTGTATTAAATCAAGAGCTAAGGCTAAACTGGGTTAAGCTAGGTTTTAGCTAGTATGGGACACCAGCTATTTAGCATACTGGATCTGTATCGTGCCAGGTACTTTACATATATAACCCCATTAAGCGAGAAGTACACTTATCTAGAAATACGCTTAGAGATCACATTGGTAACATTGTTCCAGAGGGTCCCCAGTGCAAATAAGGACCAAGGGAGCCATGTTGATGGTTCTAACACACCCCTGCTCTGTCTGTGCCTTGTGATAACTGTGTCTTTGGGACCATCCGTGAACCTGATACAGGGCAAGCTCTGCCTGGTGAGTCTAATCTGACACAAGTCTTCTGCATTATCCCTGTACTAAGTCACAAAAGGCTACATGTAACAAAGGGAACTTCCCATGGGTTTCGTATTTTGACCTAAGACTTGAAGAATAGATATATTTTTCAAAGGTGGGGGGGGAGGGAAGCAGAGGACAAAAGTAAAGAGAAGTGAGAATGTTCCATAGATGCATGAGAGAGTAAGACAGCATAAAAATGACTTCAGTGAGTAGTAAGAACTAGGACTGGAGACATACGGAGCACATTATATTGACCTTCAAAAGTCAGAGAGGCATCTAAACGATATAGTTTTCAGTAAGAAAGTAAACCCCTGAAGGGGAACACCAGGAAGATTACCCTGGTATTGCAGTGAGGAAGACTGAGGGAGTGAGGATCTGGACCCGGGGAAGCCGATTAGAAAGCCAATGCAGCATCAGGCCATGGAGATCCTGCAGGCCTTCAGCTAGGGCCATGGGTCTGGGGTGAGAGGAAAAGCTAAGTACGACATGGGAAAGAAGATCAAAGGCTTTGTTAAATAACAAAATAAAGGATAACAATAATAAATCAGTTGTCAAAAATGAGCAACTACCTTTCTCCAGAAAGTGAAGTTTAACTTCTTTCTCCTTTTGAGAGAGGCTATAATTCCTTCTGGGCTTTGAAGAGTAAAAAGGAAAAACTTCACAGTGGAGAAATCTGGCACCACCACCTCAACCCTGTGTCAGACACCCACAGAGCTAATGTGGCAAGATGGGCCCTTCTTCTCCAAGGGACTCCTGTCGAACTCATCGATCCAGGTAACCACAAGAACAGACAAATCCAGATTGGGCAACACTCCTTACCTCTGCTGCAGTCACAAGCATAGAATGAAGACCAGAGAAAGAGGGGACTGTGGAGACATAGCAATGCTCTAAGTCCTGGGACTTGAAGGGGACCCCAAGGAGAAAACAGATGAAATACAGTAAAGTCTAGAGTTCACCTAATAGAAATGTAATATATTAATACTGGTTTCTTAGTTTTGACCAATGCTTATAGGAATGTAAGTTGTCAACAAAAAGGGAAACTTGGGGAGATGTACAGGAGCATTCTCTGCCTCCTTTGCAAGTTTTCAGTCAACCTAAGATAAATGGGCTATTGCTTCCAAATGAGGAAATAAGATAATGTTAATATCAGAATCTAAGGCTAGGAGGAAGTCAGTGTCAGAAATATGAACTAAGCCAAGATAACTAGAAGCTGTGTTTATTCTTTCCCAGGCAGAACCCCACTCAACCCTGGGGTCAGTGAACACAGCTCATCCTGCAGTCTACATCAGAGAGTATGCCCTAAAACCAGATGCACTAAACAGCATCTCCCCAAAGCCAGCATCTCCCCAAAGCCAGCTGCAAGTGAGGGAAACTTGGAGTAGAAAAATTTAGAATAGAAGGTCTCACAAGGACAGACACCAGAGGTGGGGTAGGGATGATCAATAAATCTTAAATAAGCAGCTATGGAAGGTTCCAGGAATCTAAGGTGGGGGTCAGAGAAGATTCTCAGCCAGAGGTGAAGCAGAGAAGATTATTGATTTTAGAAGACCGACCAACCCGAATCCTTGCCCTGGCAAAATACAGCATGTCTATGCAGACATCTTTCCTTTTTCTCTTTTCTTTAATAAACTTGCTGTGTGCTGATGGATAGGAATGTCTGCTGAATTCTTCCACAGAACCATCAAAGAACCCCACACACCCAACATCATCTGATCTCCATCACCAGCACCACTGGTCTCTAGCTAGGGAAGCTGGGCTAAGCTACTCTCTCTTACCCAAGGTCTGGTTTTCTCACTTGTACAAAATGATAATAATACATATCACATATTCTCATTTTTATATAACTTTAGGATCTTGGGGGGAAAATTTCCCCAAACTGAAAATAAAAAGTATGACTTTGAAATCATGAAAGATAGCTGCCACCTACCGCTGATTCACAAAAGGGCTGGACAGTTCTGCAAGCAGGCGAAAATTCCCAACGTACGGCAGTGCTCCACGAGTCTGGGTGATAAACAGAAAACAAATGTCAAGAATAAAATTCTTATCAGAATTTCCAAGTGCTGAGGAAACATTTGAGAGCTTCCTAGAATAAAACATCAAAACAAACCAAGTCTGCGAGCTGATTTTCTTTTTCATGAGAATATAGATATGTCCTTAGAATTCGACAGCATTTTTGAAAGTCAGCATATTGTACAATTATGTTCACTTAGGAAAACAGCTTTCAAGCAGCTGTCTCATGTTGAACTCACGAATTCTGCAAATAGCTATTCTTAATGGCATTCTCAAAGGACAAAATGGTGTATCTTTTAGGAGTTGAGGAGTTTTGGGGACAATTAATAGCTAAGAGGATTTTTTTTAATTCACTAATAAAAACACCTTTAAAAAACTCTCAAAACTGTACTTAAAATCCTAAATAACCATGTATAAGCCTGTGAGCAGCTGTATATTTTTCAGCTAAAACAACACTGAACTATCAGATGTGATGTGAAAAAGGTATTTGTCAATCAGAAGATCCTACATAGAAAACGCACACTTTTGGCACTTTTTGAATTTAGAAACATGATGCCTAGGACAAACGAGTGATTTAATAACAGGAAAAGTATAGCAGAGTTAGTAAGCATTTGAAGGAAAACTGAAAGCATCCATTCCAAGGATTTTATTCAATATACTTTAAAATTGTTACTAAGTGAAGAGACTCCAGCACTTCCGGTTTAACCAGAATTATGATTGCACATGAAAGGAAACTGTCCTACCCACCTGCCACCTATCCAACATTGTACAAGTTTTCCTGCCAGATACATACCACACATGCTGCCTTCTAAATGTGAACAATATAAAGCAATTTAAAAAATAATGGATGAATTTTTTATCTGAGGTCTTTCAGTACTTCTCCATGTACTTTACAGATTAAAAATACAGACCTGGATTATCAGAATTAGTTTTCCCAAGGCTAATCTAAAATCTTTATAACCTAGACTTACTATCCTTAGTGAAACTGGAAAATGTTGAGGAAGAAGGAAAGAGTGGCCAAACAGAGAGAGAGAGAGAGAGAAAACGAGTCCTCATGGGCCAGATGGGCACGGTACCCTGGGTGTGCCCAGCTCCTTAGACAGTCAGCAGGAGCATAGTCATACCTGTCCCAAAATACACAGTACACTAGCAGCATTTACACACATGCTATTCATTTAACAGAAATATGAAGAATGGTTGTTTATTCAAAAATCATGTTAGCTGTATTACTTTTGTTACAATAAATGCTTTTATTTAAATAAAACAATAGTCCTAGTTAATAATAGCAATTAAGAGTAACAATACTAGTTAAAGTTTTAACTATAATATTTTTGTTTCTTTCAGTCCTTTAATTCTGTTGACCATGTACATTCAATAGGCTATATTAATGTATGCTTTTAAGGCATGTAGGACTTTTGGAAAGAATAGATAAGGAAAGGAAAATGTAATATAATAGCACTAATTAAATAGCTATTACCTGCACTGCTGAAAGATAATAATGACACCTTTCCATCCATGACTTTTATTGTGTTTTCTTTTCCAATAACACTGATCTGAACTGCCCTTAGACTTTAAGGAATAAATCCTTTTCTTTTTTACATTCTCCCTAATTTCTTTCACCTCTTTCAAAGGAGAATGGCTAGTTAACTCATTTCTAGCTCACTGGTTCTCAGACCAATGGCAGCAGCACCAGGGGACTTGCCAAGAGTGCCCCATCCCCGACGTACTGAATCAGAAACCCTGGAGGTGGGACCTGCAGTCCATTTTCACCAGGCTGTTCAGGAATTACCAACCCACATTAGAGTTAGAGAACCACTGTTCTCACTCCCTTCTCTGAAATCAGAACTGGTGAACTCTGCAATCACCCCACTAGATCCTATGTCATGAACAAAGCATATCTGCTTCAGTCCTCTAGAATTTTTTCCCTGACCCTTTTAACAACCACCAGCTGCACCAGGTGCCATCACAGATCATGCTTGTGCAAATACCTGTATTTTCTGTGCTTCATCTACCGTCCCACCCATAACTCAATTCCTCCTCATGTGTTCTGAGTTGAACCTTGCCTGCTCACTAGAATCACCTCCACAATCTTTTAGCATAAAGAGTCCTTCAGGCAGCAGGCAGGTCAGGAGAGGTCTGCTGCGCCATGTGTTCACCTCCCGGGTGGGAATCGAACTTGTATTGAAGTGGCTTTAGCTTCTTAGTGCTGTGCTTTAACCCATTGTGCCACCAAGAAGGGCCACAAATTTCAATTTTTAAAGAAATGTGTAACACAGAATTTGAGATTGTCAAAAGCATGTTATAAAAAAAAGTTATTTTGGCCCTTCCTGGCGGTGCAACAGGTTAAAGCACAGCTGTCTCAGCACAAGTTTGACCCCTGCCCTAGGAGGTGACCCTCATGGCATGGCAGACCTCATCTGGCCCGCCCACTGCTCCCCTCAGCAGTGCACTTCACCAGTCTGCCTATTCTGCTCCCACCCTGTCTCTGGTGAATCCTCTCACTGCCCTGGCACCTCTGGCCTGTACCCCAGTTCTGTATAAATAAATAAATCTTAAAAAATAAAACTTAACTAGGTAAATTTTGTTAATACTAAGAAGAATAAGTAAGTTTAAGTCCATGTCCTAAAATTAGGGCCTATTCCTCCCTACCTACATAGAGTTGCTTTTCCACCTCAAGTAAAACCTTTACCTGACACCTGGCTATTTACTTAGGGCTACAGGATCAAGCCTAAAGTGCCAAGAAATGGGCGAAAAGAAACAGACCACTACACAGCTAATCAGGAAGGAATGTAGACTTGATACTGCAACTTTATTATACACACTAAATCATGTCAACAACCATGCCTTTTCAAGCAGTCCATGTTACTTAATAATTGCTGCAGGAAAAAAAAAATGTCGAAAAGAAATATAAATACTTCTAAGGGAAAACTTTTGTTTATGTAATAAATGATAACAAATCTGCCCTCACTTGGCTCAACTATATGCAAACATAACTCAGCTGGTCACCACCTTATTTTTTTTTAAAGATTTATGTATTTATGCATACAGAACTGGGGTACAGGCCAGAGGTGTAGGGATGGTGATGGGATTCACCAGAGACAGAATACGAAGCAGAACAGGCAGATCGATGAATCACACTGCTGAGGGGAGCAGCGGGCGGGTCAGGAGAGGTCTGCCGCGCCATGTGGGTCACCTCCGGGACCAGGGATTGAACTTGCGCTGAAGTGGCTTTAGCTTCTTAGTGCTGCATTTACCCGCTGCACCACCTATTAACTTCACAGCATGGCACGGCTGAAATGTCCTCTGAAGCTCTCTGGTCCTATTACCCACAGATTTTTACACCCATCTACAAGAGCCCTTCCAATTTACTCCTCAGCCTGAGCAACTACATGGTGAAGGATGTAGCATTTTGTAATGCAGCCTACTCCTTCGTGGGGCTGCTGTTTGACACGTTCTAGAACTAATCTGCACCGTCGCTGTCTTACGTTTGCCGGTCCTGCTTTTGGTCCTGGTGATCCCAAATCTCCTATTCATATGATAACACTTCAAACAGTGAAAGTCAATACACATCTATCTTCTTTCCAGGTATAATTTCCAATTTCCTCAGA